TAAAGTCTTAGCAAATTTTGCACATGGGGGATGTAAAACAAAATAATTTTGTTAAGTTTTATATATGCATTTTGAAATAACAAAAAAAAACATTAATTACTATATCAATACCACAGAAATCCACTATAATTTATTAGGCTTAGTAACTAAGTTGTATTTGGCTCTTAAAAAAATATATTTTGAACAACATTTTCACTTACCCTTCTTTCCCAGATTTGAGACAAAAAGAAGAAATCTTGGGAACTTTCTACCTTCCAAGAGCCAGAAAACCATATGGGGGAGATTCTGAGCTTTTTATTGGTTACAAAGCTATGAAGGAGCGAAGCGGGTGTACATAAGGAAGTATTTCCAAAAATTGAAGAAGTGGGCAGGGCCACTGTGTTTGATTTCCTAAATATAGTGATATCTCAGCGAATAGAAAAGATAGAGATTCTTATTTTATATTCTAGCTTGTCAATGTTGGTAATTTGAGTTTTTAATTCATAAGAAACTATAGACTGTATTTGGACATCGCAAGCATCTAATTTGAACCAAAGCTGCTTTCAACATACCACGTGACACACAAAAATCAATATTTAGGTGGGGTTTTTTTATATTTAAATTTAAATTAAGAAATTAACTAATGTATAATACTAAAATTTGAAATATAATCTGTAATTTGATGCCAAACGTATTGACTTACATTCATAAATAGTAGTTCAATAATATTTTGCAAATGTGATGACATGCCCTTTGACCCCTGACAATAGAGGAAGACCCTTAGCAAGAGGGTTAAAATTGAAAGGTTTTAATTTTTTGAATGTTACTTTGCTGTTGAAGCAAAAGACAATGTACCAAATGACAATATTCTGTAGTGAAATCCACAGCTACAGATATACCTCTGCTATAGATCAACCCACCTAAAAGTGTAAATACCGAAGTCATTGATTTCATAGTTTTCAGAATAGCAGTGTTCAGAATTTTTTGTCATCCTAGCCAAATTTTGCTTCCCCGAATGATTTTTAGATAATGTGTCATTAAAATAACTTATTCTTGTAATCATCTATTTATTCCATATTATAAAGTATAAGGAACAAAACATATATCACCAAATAAAATAGCTATGTTGGACTGGCTACTGAACTTGAAAAAAAAAAGAACAATAAAGGGATGAAAGTGGACATATCACTTGATCATCTAATGATCACATATCAGACTAAGCTGTCTGAACTTTACATGGAGAATAAAATCCATACATTACTGTTTTGTACTATCAGTGGTCCATCTTATTTGTTTAGAGTGGCATATAGCAAAAGATGAAAAGGTGAAAACATGTTCATATTGAAAATAATAATGATTTTCTCCAAAGACATGTTATTTAGTAGCAGTGTAATTAAAGCTGATAGTAGAATTGCTTTCTTAACAAGACCAATGAGTTTTGGTTCCTGCCACTCCATATATTTCTTCTCAGGACTTTCCTGAAGATGGCAGTAACCAAAATCTAGAATATTAACCAAATGGTAGTTTTATTATAAAAAATAAATAACTAATTAGTAATAGACTTAGGTGACTATAGGTTGCCACAACTATATAACTAATGTTTAACTACAGGCTACTATTGTAATTTTATGAAAATATTGATTAAATGTATAAATAACCCAATAAGGCATGCATATTTACGTAAATATACTGGCTCTTACACATTCAATTTTTAGTGAGATTTTCAATGAGTAAAATAATTTGGATAAGACTAGAAATTCTGAAAAGTCATGGGAAATGATCTGAAAATTTTCAGTATTGGAAATCCAGGAAAATAATCAGCTTTATTAACATGTTCACTGCTATGTGCCCCACCAGTGGGTCACAACCGACTTTTAGGTATGGACCAGGATGACACCGTTGGGTTACATATTAAAAGTGGCTTCAATGATCTAATTAAACATAGTATACTTACCCATATAAATATTAAACACCTGGGTTAAGTAAAAAAGACATATAAAGTGTAGTTGGTACTAGGTTAGGAATTATTAATACTACTGGTGGCAGCGAATGTGTTAAAAAAGTATTAAAGTAAATTATGCCCAAGGAATGAAGATGACAGAAAATTGCACAAGAATACACTATATGTTTTTGTGAAAATAATGCTGCGAAACGTTATATATGTGTATATACAAGTTTAAAAATAGATACACAAACTATTCACATTGAATATTGCAGATTGCTCAGGATCTCTAAGTGTGTAAGTTTGTGCTTTGAATAAAGAATATTTAATAAATATAAGATAAAAAGAGCTTTTATTTACTGTTTATGATTGTTTTGCAGTGTAAGTGGAAAAAATTGGGGAAATGTCAAGAAAACTGGTGGGTAATTAACAGAATAAACCAGTGCATAGGGTTTATGTCTAATGAATGAAATATAATTTAGGATCTCATTTCTTCTGTTTGATGTCTACATGGTCTCACATGGTAGTTACTTTTGTTAAGAAAAAAAATGTATCTAAATAATGTAAGTTAGTGTATAGACATTCTATTTTTAAATGGAAACAAATGTAAACAGTCTCATCTGGGTTTGTATGTTAACATTTTGTTTTTTTAAAGAAAAAGATGTATCTAGTAATTTTGTAAATTAATACATAGTAGTTATACTTAATAAGTATAAAAGAGTAAAGTGTCTTGTTTGCCATTTGTGTGTTTGATGATGAATAGTTTTGTCCTTCTTCATTGTTTTATTGTTGTTTTTAACCTACACTACAGCCTTTTTACAGCTGTGTAATAAAGTAATGGACCTCACTCACTGAAACTTAATTTCTTAATCTTTGAGCATTTGACCTTGCAGGAAGCTGTTACCATATTCAACACAACTAAACCTTTATATGTGTTAAAACTGATTATACGTTATCATGAATTTAGATAACATAGTTTCGAACGCATAAGATTCAGAGGAAATTTTGTGAAATTTTTAAATGATTCTTGATTGAATCTTAAGTAGTGCTTTTAAGTTTTGGTGTTTCAAATATTTTGTTGCTTTCCAAATTTGTAGTGCATAAATGAGGGATTTAAACATAATGGCAATAAAATTAGAAAGAGACTGGAAGTAAAGGTGTTTTTTTTTTCAATATTGATATTTATACATATAATTTTTGGTATATTAAAAATAAATGAACCAACATTGGAAATTATGTCTGCTTTTGGCCCTTGGGAAGATATTTTGTACACATAGAAACATAAAAGAAGCAAGGAAACAAAAAGATGATTTGCTCCTCAAGGTCACTGCATTATTATCAAGAGCAATCAAAATGTGAACTCCATATGAACTGTAATTCACATCCATATACCCAGCCATCAAAAGTTTCAATACAATTAACAGCACTCATTATCATCAGATAAATCATTTCAGAACTTTATATGTGAAGGAAGAATAGTTTTGTCAAAAACCTTAAGACTGTGTCTACAATTTCAAAACTTAAGGCTTCTAAATCAAATAATTATATATTTATTTTTATGACAGTATTTTATACAAGATTCTGTGAATTACAGAATTTTTCTTTATTTAGTTTTATGGCTATAAAGACAAAGAAATATAATGTCATTTGATATATAACTGAAAAAGGATGCTTGTCATTTTTGAAAGCTTGTTGATCAGGTTGTTCAATTTTATAGGTTAAGTTGTGATACTACATGTTTGTTGTACAGATGGGGTTATTATTGTGGAAGACTAATTTTAGAAATGTTGACTGAACATTTACTTTCTACATGTATTCATGAAGTTAGGCAATATCTTAAAGCTAGAAAGACTATTTTATCAACGAGGTTAAAAAAAACCTGTTGTAAAAGATGATGTTTAGTTCTTTAATAGTACTTTAGAAGGATATGGTTAGACTTAAAAATATTAGGTAAGAGCACTTGAATACTAGTTGTGCTTTTAAAACTGGTAGTGGACTAGTTGTTTCTGTAAGTGGAGAGGTGACTAGTGAGTTAAACAGCACTCTTTCATCTTGTTCATTTCATATATTTGACTCTACAAAGCACCAAAGTAAGGTTAAAGAAAATAATTCATTTATATATATATATACACACACATACATACAGGTTATTTTCTTGCAATTATTTGAAAAGGTGAAAGTAAAAAAAAATAATAATAAATATGATAACAAGATTGCAGTGTGAAGAAAAATGTAATCAAAGATGCATTCATAAGCCTAGAAAAAATGAACTTGTAAAAATTGTATTATAAATTGCAAAATAACTAATATTATTAAATCAGGAAAGTAATCCTCACTGACATTGCAACTGAGCTTAATTATTACTACATAAATACTAGAAATATAATTATTGCAGGCTTGTGAAGCACAAAATTTTGTAAGTTGGATGGAAAAAAGGAATCTGTTATTAGTTTCTATAATTAGGGATGCCATTGTAGACACACATAAAGATGAGCTGGAAACAAAACTGTCTAGCTGATTTATTGAGCTTTGTGCCAGCCTACCAGGCATTAAAGATGCCAATAGAGCCATGTATAGAAATTATTAATGCTTTATATTGTACCATTAAGTTAAATATTTGGTACTTATGTAGTGCATAATGATTACAGGGCAAGTTATTATATTTAATGTATGTAGTACAATGAAAGAATAAGCTCATTCTTCTAGGTGATTGTACTTGTGACACCTTCATTTGTAACTTTCCATTCTTGTTACTTTAACTTATTATTTACTGAACACATACAATTATTGTGTAAGAAGATTTTAATTTGACATTTGTACAATAATAAGTATGATTATTGGTAAACATTCTTATGTATTTATTATATATCCCACATTTCTATATTTGTTCACGTATCTGTTGTGCAAAGCTTATGCAGGAAAGATAAATAGTACAAAAATGGCTATTGTGTTCCATTTGTTTTAGAAATAGTGTTTTATTGAAATTTAAAAGGTAATATTGTAAATCACTGTGGTAATTAAAGTTCTCAGTACTCCTGAGTTTTCTTATAATCATGAAAATCTTTTTATGAAATTACAGGAAAGAAAACAATCAGAACTCATTAGAAATAAAAAAATGAGGAAGGCTAAAAGATTTTTAGAGAGCTGTGAAGAGGTCTTTGACTCTGTTCTCCTCACTGTGGGAGAAAAGCAAAGTGATTTCAAGCTTCAACAAGTACTTGTGTGTCTTGGTGGAACACCTGTCAGTCCCAAAGAAGTTTACATCATTCGACTGCCACGTCAACCAACTTGTAAACATTGCATTCACAGTGCACCAAAATCTTTTCGTAGTTGTATGACACGACTTTTCAGAGAGATGATTAGCACAGATGGGCTTTTAAGCTCAAGTAAATTGTCTCCTACCCAGTGTACTATTATGTTGCAGGTTTTAAGGAAAAACCCACTTCCAAAAAACATGGAACCTAAACTGTATTTTAAAGTTCCAGTTCGAGGAAAACATGTTATTTTAGATTTTTGTTTTTCTAATTGTTGTCATGTTGAAATGGACCAGTTTCCTGTTTTTTCAGATTCTGATATGGATCTCGGTGAAAGTGTTAATAATGATATAAACATAATTGCAGTTGGTGACTTGGAAAGCACCAATAACTCCAATATGGATAAGAGCTTGGTTTGTTTGGTGGAAGATCTAACCTTGAAAATTCCATCAGAAGATGATTATATCTGGGTTCAACTCAAGCCTACCATTAAGGGATTCAAAGATTCTTGCACTAAACAAGCCTCAGAATTAAATATATGGATGTAGACATGCCTTTGTTGTTAGTGAAGGCTATACTGTTAAACCATTACTTGAATAAACATGCAGCTCAGTGAAATAAATTTGTATGTAGCCAAACTTTAAAGGATTTATAATATCAAAGGTTATTGCATGTGATATGTACTGTATATTTTGTGCATGAATTGAAAAGATAATACATAAAAACATATTAATGAACTTTACAAAATTACTATTTTATATGCATGGTTACACTGAATAATGAAGTGATAGGCACAGAAAGTAATATTCATAAACTTTCGTCTGGATATAACAAAAGTGCACATATTAAATTATTTTAAAGTAGGGATGTACTGATACAAAAATTTTAGCCAATACCGGTACTGATTTTTAGTGCCATATTGATACTTTATTTTTTTGCCAATATTGATACCTTCAAAAAATTAATCATTTTGGAAATTTGTTTCTCATTATGATTTTAATTATTTCATATAAGGTTAAGAAATCATTTTGTTATTAGATGTTCATCAGACTATGACTTATTTATTAGGAGTAGGTGAAAAAAAGTATATTGACAAAGATACTGTATTTTGACTATGTTCAGTTATAAAAATGGAACATGGTATGGTATATTAATTCATCAAAGAATATAGGATAGGTTAATGTAGTCATGCATAGAAATATAAGAAAGATAAATAACTAAAAAAAAATATATATTTTTTTTACATAATTTCATTTGAAATTTGATATCTCTCAAAAGTATGAACACGGTAGACCTATGGAACATTAGCAAAAACATAACTAGTTTCATCATTTTCATGCATAAAAATAATGTACAGAATAACACAAGAAATGTATTGAATTATTTTCAAAAATCTGCCTTAAATTTCATATCCTTTTTATATGAATTATGAACAAGTTCACATCATTTTTTATAATCATTTATCAATAATTTTAAAAATAGTACTATACACTAATAAAATTCCATAGTTTAAAACATACATTGTATATAAGTATGAAAAACTGAATAACACAAACATATTTAGAATTTTTATCCTTGGCATCCTTTTGTTAGCTACTCAATAGGCAAGTAAGGCAATCTGATCCATATTTTAAAATTTTGAAAGGCTAATTGAGCAATGATTTTTTCTTTTTTACTTAAAAACTGAAAATCCTTTTTTTATTATTATTACAATTCTTGTAGAATAATTTAAGATTTATCAGCACCAAACTTTTAAGGCATAGTATTGGGTTTAACTTAGTTGTGGAATTTATTTTATAGTTTATAACAAGGATATTTGGTTTAATATATAAAGTTAAACAATTTATTAATATCCTGACTTTAAACAGGGAAACAAATCTGTAATTTGCATGATTTCCATCATAAATTTTAAACCTATTGGTTTCTAATGTTTCACCATTTAAATTATAACTTCTATATTGCCCTTACTTTAAACAGCTATCTCATTATATTACTTGAAACTGGTGTTGTTGTTTTTTTTCCCTTTAAATACTACCTACTGTGTTTTTGTAAATGAATGTTGATCCGTAAAAACTTGTGATTTATCCAATATTATATATAGTACATGAATTATTTACAATTGCTTAAAATGATCACTCTCTTTCCTTTATATTTTCACATTTTGTATAAATTATCTACATATTTTAAATAGAATGCCACTATTCATGATATGTATATTATATTTGAATATAGTATGCACTTCTGTCGTGTGATATTATACTATTTTTTCTGTTCTGTGTATGTGGAGGTTTTCACATAATACGCGGTTGGGAAAGCTGTTAATTTCATTGTGTTCTAAGCTACCTTTGTTGCTCTCGATATGGATAATCCTTGTTACCAACAGTGGAGTATATTATTCAATACTACATGTTGTGTAAAGATGTTGATAACAGTGTCAATGATTGTTCAGGTGATTTCTAATGGTTGGGGCCCCACCTCTGTTGTGATGAGAATGACCAGTCACGTGAGAAGCGCTGGATAAATGCAAAGTTTTTCCACAATGAGGACCATTAAATTTAATCAGTATAGTCTGGAATATCTTTTGAGTTGGTCTAGTCTGGATGAGAGAAGGAGATAACACTGAAGGTCAGAGCTACAGTCTATCATGTTTATTTAAACAAGTATATACATTGTGAAATAAGTATTATTAATGTTAACAAATGAATACCAAGGTAGCAATGAGACTATGAATGCTATGACAGGATCTTTTATTCTTAAAGTTTTGACTATAAGTCATCTTCAGGAGATTGACACTGTGGTACCTTACAAGGGTATTCATACAAATTTTCCCAAATTAAGTTCCTGGTCGCTTCGCCCTGCCGCACCTTGATTGGTTCACTATCGCCATATGTCGACCACCACCTGACCAATCATTGGTCATAATCTCTTGAAGAAGACTTGTAGTGGAAACATTGAGAAGAAAAGATCCTGTTATGGCATTCGTAGTCTCATTGCTACCTTAGTATCGATTTGTCAACATGAATAATACTTAGTTGTTTGATGATGGTAATGGCGACATGAGTCTACAGGATCGAGATTTCTACACAAGGAAGAAGATCAGCAGCTCTATGAACTGGAGGAAATTCCTGAAGGAGTGCATAGCAGAGTAAGTTCTTCCGAGATCAGCCCCAGGTCAGCTTAACACCATAGATGGACACTCTTTTGGCAAGAGTACAAGATCTTACTTCGAAAAGGGAGTCATAAGCTTAACAGACAAGGTAGTAGGGGCTTCTTTCCCTCACTACTTGGTACCAAGGATAAAACAAGAAATTACGCTGGAAACTAAAGCAAAGATGTAATAACAGTGGACGGAAGACCATAGGAAGAACTGGCCTAATCAACAACATGTCTAACAGAAGGTTTGAAGATGAAGAAACAAAACTTTATTGCTTGGTTTAAAGTTTGACACAGAATAGGAGGAAGAAGTTTCTTAGACTACATGAACTACAATCACAAATGGATGGACAATGATACTGATATAGGGACCAAACAAGGCAATGGCAGATTCCCTGCACCATACTGTTCCAAAGAGATATATAATGGGCCTTAAAAAGGCTGAGTAATGACAGCAACATCTTCATATCTCAAGCATATAAAGATGGAGGAGTAGAAATTATGGACAGGAGTGAATATGTAGGAGAAAATGGATGCACTATTAGCTGACAACTCCACACACACAGAGAAAGAGAAATATTTCACGAAGAAGGAAGCTGGAACATTCAAGCAGAAAGCAAGGAAGATCCTAGGTAAGACAGAGAGTAGAAAGAGATTAATGCATCTCTTAGAAGAGAACCCTTGCACTCCAACTGTGAGGGGATGCCAAAGGTACACAAACTAGGGATCCCCATGCAACCTCTAATATCAGGCATAGGCAGTGCCCCACATAGGTTAGCCAAGGCCCTGGCCAAACCACTCTCACATCTGAATAAGTCAACAGACCTTATTAGAAGACTACAAGGAGTAAGATTCAAGAACAAGAAGATGGTGAGCTTTGATGTATAGTCGCTGTTCACAAAGGTACCCACAGAAGCTGCCACCAGAGTAATACAAGAAATGAGAGATTATCTCCCCCTCCCAAGGGAAAATTACACCAAACTCGTATCATTGTATGTAAGATTCAGTCTGTTTGAGTTCATGGGACAGGAATACCATCAACATAATGGGCTCACCATTAAGTGCTGTCCTAGCTTCCCTAATAATGAAGACATTGGAAGAAGAACATTACAAAGGCATCGTTGGCAAACACTCGATGTGGCTAAGAAATGTGGATGATGTTCTAGCCATAAAACCAAGACAATACATACAGGTGACACTGATGAGACTGAATGAGATACTAGAAGACAGTAGAAGAAGAGCAAGATGGGAAGATACCATTTCTTGACACTTTGATTTGGAGAGGTGAAGAGGGACCTAGGTTCTCTGTGTATAGAAAACAAACCAACAGAGATGATTTTTTACACTTCTCATCACATAACAACAAAGTAAAGATGGGTATGGCATTGGGCTTCTTCCTGAGGGCATTACGAATATACAGCTCAAAATTCTTAGATCAAGAAAATGAACACATAATGGAAGCTACAATAACCTACAGGCTGAAGCAGAAAGTGTGGAACAACAGACTATTGAAACACACAACCACGCCCCCCAGTGGCACAGCGGTATGTCTGCGGACTTACAACGCTAGAATCCGGGTTTCGATACCCGTGGTGTAGCTTTGTGCTTAATTACAAACAAACACACAACCACAGAGGTAGTAACTAAAACATGAATAAAAATAGGAGATATGGTAAAGGACAGAAACAGACAGCAGCATAGTATACTGCATTCCATGTGGGAGATGCAGTAAAGTCTACATGGGTGAAACTGGCAGGGGCCTGACAACAAGACTAAATTAACACAAAGTGGATATCTAATAAGACAACAAAATCAATGCAATAGCAGCACATGCAGAGGAAGCAGGGCACCTGCATAAATGGAAGGAAACGTAAAATCATCAGCAAAGGAATGGAAAACAATGGAGGCTGCTTACATCTTACTAGAAAGCAACTTAAGTACCAAAACAGGAGTCTACAAGTGGGTGGAAGCGGCTGCAAGCCTGGTGTAACGAGAGCAGAACGCTGATTGGTCAGGTGGTGGTCGACAGATGGTGATAGTGAACCAATCAAGGTGCGGCAAGGCGAATGGACCAGGAACTTAACCCGGGAAAATTTGTATGAATACTCTTGTAAGACACCACAGTGTCATAATCTTCTGAAGAAGACTTGTAGTTCAAACGTTGAGAATAAAAGATCCTGTCATAGCATTCATAGTCTCATTGCTACCTTAGTATCTATATACATTGTGTTTAGTGTCTTAATAAAGACTTTTTTTCCACAACCATTACTTCATTTTACGTCTACTCAGTTAGCAAGAGATTTAGTATTGCTTCATAATCGATATTTTGAGTGAGTGGATCTATTCAATATAATTCTAAAATTAATTCAGTTTCACCTGGATATAGGACAGAATGGGTAGGTAAAAAGAAAATTGATGGTCTGACTGCAGGATACCATTACTTCAGAGTTTGCTAGATCTGTTGAAATTTGTGTTACCCTCCACTTGAACTCTAATACATTAAGTTTTTATAGCATTTAAGTTGACAAAAATGGTATTTTCTGCAACTGCAAAGATGTATGAACCAGAGGAAGCATAATTTGCCGAGGTTAAATGAATGACCATGATAGCTGTGGGGTCTAGGAAATTTCTCTTCTAGACTTTGGACTTTTTCCAATGATGCAAAGGTCTATGGCCTTGATCTTTTTTTTACAAAACCTACAAACCAGGAAGACAAGTTGCTGAATTCTGTTGCATTCAGATCAGAATGTCATTCTTTTCCCCTGAGAACTTACCTCAATGTGAGGAAAATGCACATTGAGGTAATGTGACATCTGATGAGTCTGGGACCAGGTAAGATGGTCTATTTATAAATCCCACAGTAATTCAACCCCTGCTCTGATGAAAGCCACATGAGGATATTGTAGAGAAACTGGAGACCAAAGCTATCTCACCAGCAGGTGAGAAGATTGGTGCTAAATAGAGAAGTGAGCATTGGGAGGTATATTGCCACTGTAAATGAGACTTAGGAGGAGTTTGGGGCAGATCCATTGAATGAGCTGACTAGTGTACCTTTTCATTTTGCAACTGTGGATCAAGGGCCAACTATTTAAAAGAGTATTGGTATCTCCGAGAGCCCATATCACTCCTTGCCCATGATGATGAGGACGTTTTGGTTGGAAAGGAAAGTATCTGGCCGTGATTATGGTTTCCTATGAGTGGAGCAAAGCAGATCACTCTTCTGACATTTAAAAGCATACCAAAGGAAATTTGGACCATTTGCAGAAGTGCTTCAGGCATGTAATTGCCCACAATGGCTAGATCCCAGAACTGTTTGTACAATGACTGGTTCTGAGCCTAGATAGTCTGGCCCTAGACTCCATCAAGCAGTTGCATGAGGAACGACTTTAGGATTACAAGACAGTTATTACTGGGTTGTGCTGAAGATTATAACCTAGGCTTGGAAGAGGGGCGCTACTGAAATCTTGATCTCTGATTGCATGATAAAGCTTACCCTGCAATGAAC